TTGAAACTATAGGCACACAGATTAAACCTGTGTTGTTGATTTTGGAAAACACTACTGAGGCTGCCTTGCTTACTTCAGAAAATCTACATTTTAACCAACTTACACGACATTCTATGTTATGTTGACTTTATCACATGAAAGTTTTTAGTGCATTACATCAATTATTAAATAAATGTGAAAATCGTAATTTTCAACACAAATAATAGTCTCGCTACCTTAATTACATACCACCCGAATTAACAAGGTTATAATATTAGATCTTCATCCTTATCTCCACTGATGAATGTGTTGGATCAAACAAACTCTTGATGAAAAGCGATGATGTTATTTGCATGACCTGCAACAACATCCTTTGACTAATTGGTCAAGTCTGTTATTAACCTAAACAGAATCCTGTGTTGTACCAACGCAATTCTTCAGAAATTTTCAAAGACTTTCTGGTAATGCAATGTGAATTATCAATGTCGAATTACAATTTGTTGGAATTGATTTCGGTGAATAAACAGCATGGTTTTTTTAAAAAACTGGTTATTAGCAATTTTTGATTAGTAAACTGAGTATGGCATGAAATAGTTACCACATTTTACTTAGAACTCATATCAATACGACTTTTTCAGGTTATTGTCGAAGCGTAGTTTATGCACGGTTACTATGGTCTACGCATTCACAACAAATTCACGGTGATCGATATACACACTGTATCATATAAAGACAATTACCAGTATTCGTTACTATAAGCAATGATCAAAGACCAAGTTTTAAATTAGTGGCATTTTGAAGGGGTGGGCGCTTTGGCAAATATAATCAAAGAAAGCTTAGAAAGAACTCCCATGTGCTGAAGGTATTGGAGGCATGAAGTACAAATACTATATTAAAAACACATCTTCAATACACATAAAGCAAAATCATTGAAAATGTATTATTTTGACCATAGACTTGTCTTTGTCATTTATATTCACAGTAAGCACATCTGCTTATAATAGAGCAAATACAGCATTTAACAAGTCATTGAAAATGACAGTCCCCGTTAAATTTTTGAAAGTTCTCTTTGTGCTCGTCATATTAAGGGGAGGGGTTGTCGCAAGCATGTCCTTGAAACTTGAGTCCCAAGTGGCAAATGCAACAGATTGTTTATTTACATCAAATTCGAACACATGTTGCGTGACAACCCCTAAAGTTTAAAGTTTGTTTGAGAAAATGCAAGTCTGAGTATGGGAATGAGGCACTAAAATTACATTACCATACATCTCATTTTCAAAAAACAAGATGGCTGCCAGTCAGCCATTTTGAATCTAATCGTTAAACCACTGCATGTGTATATGCCCGACACAAAGTACTTGGCACACGCAAAGAATGAACGGAATTGGTCTAAAGGATTCTGAAATATGACTCTGGACGGTCTTTATCTTGTCAGACAATATAATTATAGCACCAGTTGCAAGTCCCTATCTGCAACAGTACATGTACTTGTTACTTAAGATATCTACGTATTAACCGTGAAAATGCCTAAAATCAGTTAATGTACAAATTAGGTAATTACTATGTACAGGATTTTCAACCAAAAACTAGTCAGGTCTGCGCATTGTCCCAGAGCATCTATGCACCAAATTTCAATGAAATCTGTATAATAGTACATGAGAAAGAATTGAAAATGCTTAACATTAAATTTGGGTAATCAATATGCAAATTATGTAATTAATAGGCACAGATATTAACCAAAAACTAGTTAGTTCTGAGCACTAAACTAGAGCATCTATGTACCAAATCTCATTAAAATCAGTTGAATTATAATGAGAAACAAGTAAAAATGCTTGAAAATTAGTTAATATGTAAATTAAGTAATTAATATGCATGGATTTCAACCTTGGGTCTGAGCATTATCCCAGAGCATCTACAATGTACTGTATGTACCAAATTTCAATAAAATCTAATAATTGATTCTTGAGATATCAGTGGAACCACAAAGACTCCCATTGTGTGCTTTGCACACGGGAGTCAAAAATAGTGCAAAAGTGGGGATGGATGCTTGACTACTAGGATGAACCAAAACATTATGAACAAGGTTATGTTGTATGCAAATTAGCTAATTAATATGCATTTACTATTATAAACCAAAGCTAGGATATGAACTCAGTATACATTGTCTGGCAACAATCATTAAGTTATGGTCAACTGATGCGACAGTGCTGTCATCACTTTTTTTTCAAACAATTACCAACTTGTTCAGACGTTGGATCTTAGGTTGGGTTACTTGAAATCAAATTTAGACCGTCTCTCACATGCACAAAAATATGTTTGCCCATGCCAGCACATAATAAATACTTACAGTACAAAAACAGTCTTAGAGAATTAATTTAATAATATACCACAACTACCAGCAATAAAAAAATAGAACTCACCCTGCAGGATACTCTGTTTGTTACACTGGGTCTCTCCACTGCAAAGAAAACAACAATATATTGTGATAAATGAACAGAAAAATTACAATCCTGAAAAATACTTCATTTTCTCTTGGAGTTACATTGTATATGTGAAATAAATAATTTAATAGTTTTCAGTGAAAATTTTTTTTTTAACAGGGCATATACTATACTTAGATGATGAGATGAAAAGTGGACAGAAACATAAAATACTGTGGAATATTTATTTTCGCTAGAATTAATTTTCGCTGAAAAGGTTTTTGGGGTGTTTTGTATGGAATTTATTTTCATTGATTTTTGATGAGTTTAATGTGAAATATAGGAAAAAAAGTATATTCGCTGGATTTTATTTTCACAGAATCATTGCTTCAGCGAAAATGGCAAAAATAAATTCAAAGCGAAAATAAAATATTCTACAGTAGTAGTTTTTGTTTTATTTGCAAGCACGTACCAATTTAAACTCATTATTTTGTTGGTAAACAAATGATCACATTAAGAAGAAACAAGTCATTGAAAATGACACAGTCCCCATTAAGTTCTCTTTTTGCTCATCATATTAAAGCGGAGGGATTGTCGCGAGTGTGTCCTTGAAACTTGAGTTCCAAGTGGCGTATACAACAGATTGTTTATTTACATCAAAACACGTGTTTCGTGTCATACATGTAGTAATATGGCCAAAATATAAACAGCCGTTATTTGGCCATCTTTAATCTGATTATGAAACACACTGATATGTATGATGTATATGCAAAATACGAATGAAAATGGTACATAAATTGTGGAAATATAGTAGTAAGGCCAAAAAGTTAGATGGCTGTCAATCGGCCATCCTTGACCAGATTTTGAAACAAATTGTCATGGACATGCATCCTAACATGTATAAAGTACATGTATGTGCCAAATTTGAATGAAAACTGACAGAGCACGTCCAAGATACCGCATAAATAAACAAAAACAAGATGCCTGCCAGTCACCCATCTTTGATCCAATTGCGAAATAAATCGTCATGGACATGTATCCTAACATGTATAATCTATGTACCAAGTTTGAATGACAATTGACAAAACATGTCCAAAATACAACATTTTCAAAAAACAAGATGGCTGCCAGTCGGCCATTTTGAATCGAATCGCTAAACCATTGCATGTGCATATGTCCCACATAAGGTACTAGGCACATGCAAAGAATGAACGGAATCGGTCCACAGGATTCTGAAATATGACGTTTGACAGACTGACGCACGGACAGAAGGACGGTCGGAGACCAAATTATAAGTCCCTGTTTTCGGACTTCGTCCGAACGGGGACTAATAAACATGTACCCTTCTCAGAATATAAAATGAGATCTACATGTTGTAAGGTGTCGGAAATGGTTTATTTAGACGTCAGACATGGCTGTCTTAGTTTTGCAATACTCACAAAACATAGTTAAACTACACATGCCTTGCTCTGCATGAGTAAAGGTGGGCAGACCATAGCATAGGATGGGGATATCATTATATACATGTATGTGGGAGAGATCACTGCACAAGATGGGAAGATCACTGCACAAGATGGGAAGATCACTGCACAAGATGGCAAGAT